GGTTTCAGGCAGACTTCAAAAAAGCATAGCAATTAGACTAAGGTTTTACCTTAAATATCTTATCCAAGCGACTTATGCTCAAACGCTTTTTCTGATCCATCTTCGCTACATTGGCCGCATCTCCATCCATGAGAAACAATGAAAATGCAATGACCTGACAGAATTGTTATGTATGGGTGTAGAAACAAGGCATTGTGCTACCTTGACAAACATATGGCGTTCAGAGGGTGAAAGATATAGGTGGTTTTCGAACATGTGAGCGCATATATTGATAACATCAGCCAGCAGCTCCTCATATGCTTCAATCTGCAAAAGAGATGATAAATTTAAACTTTAAGCGAATGAACAAAAAGGCGGCTCACTAACCTTTACCATCCGTGCTTTGAGGTCATCCTTAATTTTATTTTGTGTAGCCAAAAACATGCTCAAATTCTGCATATCATGAATCGTTTGGGTATCAGACATCACTTGCAAAAATTGTGCAGACCTAGGTGTTTGATGATGGGTGAATTCGGAAGATGTTTCAGAAGAAAGGTGAAACGATTAGAAAAACTACAAAATTGACTCACCGTCGAAAGGTAGAAAAATCGTTCTTGATAGATGCTTTCATGTTTTTCAGCTCATCCAAAACGGCGAACATGTTCAGAAACCGTCCCAAGGTTAGCAGATAAGCTTCAGAGACAAAATCCTAAACTAGTCCCAGAATAACAATGATGAAAATAATGAGTGATAGAGCCCAACCTTCCGTTTTTCAATATGACATAGACGACGGACTTCTTCGCAGAATCGAGAGATGGCATCGTTCTGACAGATAAAGATAAGTGATTTGAATATAACTGAGAAATCATTGAGGATAGCTCATAGCAATTTTTTAAAAAAATACATAAGATGAATGGAAATCAAAAAACTTATTCGCCACTGACCGTGAAAAGCATAAATTGCTGCAGCTTATCGACCTCAGGCCTCAACACTTCCACCACTTTCATGTTTATCTCTACACGATTTGGTTGATCATTTGATTTCACCTGCATAAGATGGAATTAAGAGGGAAAAAACAAGAGCAAGAATACACTATATAAACTTAAGAACAGTACCGTGGGAACAGCGCGAGAGCAACATCTCCATGTATAGAGATTGG